GGGGGCCGATCTGCACGGCCCCCCCCCCCCCCAATAGCTAGCAATCCAAAACAGTCCAGTGGAGCCTGAGCGGTGGGTGTTGCCTTCTGGCACACTTCCGGTGATGTCAGGGGGTGTGGCATATGCAAATGAGTCATGCTAATAGGTTATGCTAATGAGCTCCTGCACCTCTTTTTCTACGAAATGACCCCTGCTGAGGCCCCTTCCCCCTCCTCAAACCCCGCCCTCTCCCGGATCCACCCCCAACGTCTCCAGGTATTTACCAACTCAGACCTGGCAACCCTAACACCAGAGCAAAGATAAAGTAAAACACTCGGCCCGCCCCTTCCTCCTTAGGCTACAAGCAGCTTACAACAGGCAGAAATTCAACGAGCATAATGTATAGTGTATAGGGAAGGCCACTGTGGGATGGGGGATATTCCTGGGGGGTTGGGGGTGGAGCCTGGGGAAGGCGGGGTTTTGCCCCCGGCACAAGGGAGAAGCCCAACATGTGAAATGCCACAAGCCATAACCCGTGGGGATGAATTGGACCACCTTTGCACAGGGTTCAATGTCTCCTAGAGAGGCGGGTGGGGGGACGGACGACGACACAGTCCCGTATGGTGACTCACGGATCTCAAGGGGCACCTCGAGGTGAATTTCGCGCAACGTGTCCTGCGCCCAGCCCCGCAGCCTCCGACCCGCTGCTGGCACATCCCCGAGACCCCAGGACTTGCGGCTCAGGCGAGGGATGTAAGAGGCAAACTGGACAGCGAAACTCGGATCGCATTGTAAGCAATTCCGGGCCGGGGCCGGCCCCAGGGCCAAATCCACCACCAAGGCCAGAAACAGGATCTGCCTGACCCGGCCCCAGTGAGCCATTCCTCGGGTTGGCTCCCAGAGTGTATTTAAAAGGGATCATGATTCCAGAACCCAGGACTGCCCATTGGCACAATGGGTGTATTTTGCTGCAAAGCATTCTGGTTCCATAGAACTCTCCAGGATGTTCTGGAACATTCCTTTGTTTTTACGTGGCCCGGCAACCCTCAGCCAGGCTAGCGAAGTTGAAGCGGGCAATCAGGGAGGGTGGGCTGGTTGCCAACTTCTTTGTGTTCCTTTATATAGGCAGAGACCAGTGTTCCCTCT